GCAACTAATGCTATGATTTCCAAACATTTCTAAAATATTTATATTTATTATATATATTATTAATATTATTAACGCGTAAATCGCGTAAAATTCTCATTCCAAACACATTATTAATATTAATATTATAAATGACAATGGAAAAATTTACTAAAAACCAACTCACTTTTAACTTTTATTTTCAACTAGTTATTTGTATTTTTATTATGTTGAATTGCAAATATAGGCAGAATAAAAAAATATTATCAAAAAGTTTCTTTTTGTAAACACACGCTACAAAACACTTAATTTAGATTTTTATGAAACACGTGGAGAAAAGCACGATAACCAATTAATTATAATTATAGTCAATGAAAACATGGAGATCTAAATAAATAAAATCAACTTCACAAAGAATACAAGCTTGATAATAGTAACAGACTACTAAGATTTTTCAAATAAAAGAAACATTGAATGATGCAATAAAAATTGATTTATAATTGAAAGTGATTTAATTAGCATTATTGGAAGATATATATTTTTTCAATGTAGATATTCATAAAGAATAATTTTAAAGCATCAAACAAAATTATTATTTTATTGTGAGAATCAAGAGCAATATAGTTTATCAATTTGATTGCAAAAAAGGTCTTTGAATAATTCAAAAAAAGAAAAGGTTTTTTTTACAAGGAAATATGGAAAGGGTTTTAAAAACAACCAAATGGCAAGAAACAAAAATTCATATAATATGTAAGTTTATATATATACTTATATATGTAAAAACAGATGCCTCAATCTAAAAAAGTCAAGATTGGTTTGATTAATCCACTGATCAAGACAAGACTTGGTTTGATTAAGACAGGAATTCTGAATAAAATCGAAGGTGACTATAGTGATTGATTCAAGAATTAATGTTTGGATGGACTAATGGATACTGGGAGTAAGAATCAACGAATCTACTATTATCATAAATAACAATATCTAATTTTCACTATTCAAATATAAAATGATAACTTTGGGATTAACCAGTGACCCCCAAATCCCGAGTGAATGTGATAGAGTAAATAAAATGTAATTAATCAAGTAATAAATAAGAGCAAATTAGTAATTCAAAATGAACTTCTAGTCACTTTTTTTTATTATGTTGACATTAACTGATGTGTTAATTCGGTTGAAGAGGGAAGGCTTAATGAATTCAGTTTGTTCAATGGATGGATTTTATGGACGGCATCTGGATGATAATTTATTCTCAAAGTAATTGCTTGATTTAGTAAGTTCTTTTTTTTCTCCAAAAGATGGCTTCATGAATTAACTTTATATTTTTTTTAAAAGTATAATACCATTTAGAGTGTTTGGAGAATTTTTGATTTTTATTATTATTATTCATATTGAAATATATGCTTTTAATTTTCTTATTATTTTTGATATATACTGGCTGTATATATTATTTTTTTATTACAATTAATAATTTGAATTAATAGCATACAAAAGTGATAATTATGCCAACTATCGTCAAATACGTAACAGGAAATCTTTTATTATTAAAATAGGAATTAAAATCTATATAAAATAGTTTTTTGGAGGGAAGAAAACTTAGTTTCGAATGGATGCAAGAAACTACATTTAGGTGGTGGAAGGAGTGGTGTTGTCATTGTAGCAATATAAATAAAACCAAATTATATATTTAATAATAATTTCTAATCTAAAAACCTAATACGGCCTTGTTTTACATACCACAAAGCTTGATCGCACTTTTTTGCAATGTGCCCATTTTCATCTTAACAATTTTGATTCCGTAACTATTATCATACAATCCACCAGTAGCGAAATATTAATATTTTGTTCCTCATAACAACATTGATGATGAAAAGTGGAAATTTGTATTCATGATTTCAGAAATTATATTGGAATACATAAGAAAATAGAAAAATAGCATTTAAAAATTCGCTATGCCAAATTCATTTGACTGTATGAATTTTTTTTTTATTATCTTTTTAATCATCACCCGTAGGGGTGACTAGAAAAGGACAGGGGACGGGCATTCGCCACAATTACCTGTACCCTGTCCTTTTCTTGTGATCCGTTTCCCTGGTTAGCTTCTACCTCAGCCCTTGCATCAAATAACACAACAAAGGTTTGTTGGTCATTATCAAAAAATTTGCGCCCCAATTTGAGTTGCCAAGTAAATTAGCTATTTGTGTGTATGCATCTAGACCTTGGAAAAGGCACTTATAATTACT